CCCGCGTCTCCTGCATCGGCAGGCGGACTCTCAAGCACTGCGCCACCAGGGAAGCCCCTGTTCACTCTTTAACAACAACTTGGCCAGGAAGTTCTCCTTGTGTTAAGTGAGAAACAGATTCAGAGAGGCAAAGTGGTTTATGTAAAGTCACACAGCTGGAAATAGAAGAACTGGGTTTCAAACCCAAGTCTGTCCTCCTAGACAGTTTACAGCACCCATCCTGATACTGTGCTCACATCCCCTCCACGCTGTATTTGTGATTCTTCTTGGAGCACCACATTTAAACAGCTAGAGTTTTAGGAGTGAGACTGGGAAGGAGATGTATGGAACAGGACCCCACCTTGGTCTTACAGGCAAGGTGAGACGTCCAGGCTTACCAGACACAGCAACTCCTCTTTGGAAAACTTCATACATCGTCCTGGCATCTGAGAAGTAGTAGCGTATCAGGTCATCGCCCTGGGAAGGGCCTCTCCGTGCTCCTCCCTGAGACACAAGACCAAGTTGAGGTTAAGACTGAGTCTTTGCCCACCCTTTCCAAACCCTTATGGATTGAACTGAAAAGAACATAAACACTGACTACTGAGGTCACAGCGATGCTCAGTCAATCAATTTTTTAAATCTCAAAATTGTGGTGTCTTCATATCAGAGAAATCCAGAAATTGTCACAGTTATGTTTTTGGCAATCTCCCCCCACCTCCCTAGGCATACACGCACGTGCGTGCGCACACACACACACACACACACACACAAAAGAGATAATATTATATCGTTCTAAAAAAATCATGTGAAGGTTAAACATCTATCAAATGCATACTATGTTTCAGTCACTGGGCAACTACTGTAGATGCAAAGTGAGTTAAGACAAAATTACTGCCCACGAGCACCACATAAATGAGAGTTTTGGGAGCTGGGGTAGGGTGAGAAGGGAAAAACATGCAAATATAATACTGTGATGTACGTGCTGTAATAATTGTTTTGGGAGATGAATGAAGTGAACAATTCTGTATCAAGTAGAAAGGCTATAGAGAAGAAATAATATTTCAATAGAGTCTTTGAAGATAAGTAAGCATTTACCAAAATGATGTGGTTTCATAGAGCAGAGGGAAAGGAGGATAATTCAAAGTGAAGGAATAGCCTGAACAAAGGCACAGAGGAAGCAACAAGGATTTACTGTATAGCACAGGGAGTTATACAGTGTCTTATAATAACCTATAATGGAATATCATCTGCAAAAAAACCCAAAAAAACACTATGCGGGGCTTCCCTGGTAGCGCAGTGGTTGAGAGTCAGCCTGCCGATGCAGGGGACACGGGTTCATGCCCTGGTCCGGGAAGATCCCACATGCCACGGAGCGGCTGGGCCCGTGAGCCATGGCCGCTGAGCCTGCATGTCCAGAGCCTGTGCTCCACAACGGGAGAGGCCACAACAGTGAGAGGCCCGCGTACCGCAAAACAAACAAACAAAAAAACACTATGCTGTACACCTGAAACTAACACAGTATTATAAATCATCTATGCTTCAACTAAAATAAAAAAAAAAGAAGGTACAGAGGCAAGAAAGCACACTGAAGATTCTGGTGGGCAGCTTGAGAACAGGGTATTTGAGAAAGAGGGAGTAGCTAGGGATTTGTCCAGAAATGTCATCAGAACTACAGCATCAGGCCCCGATTTAGATCCTGGAGCTGCAGTAAGAGCTACAGGCATGGTTCAACCCTCATGAAAGTTAGTGTAGAGAAGCACAGGCATCAATTAAATACGCATTCAAAACTGTAAATTACTACCAAGATAAGGGCTATAAAAATACAAGGTAATCCAGGAGGCTGTAACAAGAGATCTGACTTAATCTGGAGCAACAGGAGATTTCCATCAGATGTCACATTAAGTCAAGACATCAGAAATAAAGTTCTCTTGGGACTTCCCTGGTGCTGCAGTGGTTAAGAATCTGCCTGCCAATGCAGGGCCCACAGGTTCGAGCCCTGATCCGGGAAGATCCCACATGACACGTAGCAACTAAGCCCATGCGCCACAACTACTGACCCTGTCCCCTAGAGCCCGCATGCCACAACTACAGAGCCCACGCACCTACAGCCTGTGCTCTGCAACAAGAGAAGCCACCGCAATGAGAAGCCTGCGCACCACAGTGAAGAGTAGCCCCCGCTCGCTGCAACTAGAGAAAGCCTGCGCACACCAACAAAGACCCAACGCAGCCACAAAAAAACCATTAAAAAAAATTAAAAAAAAAAAGAAATGAAGTTCTTTTTCTAGAAAAGGAAGATGGGGTCTTGCTGTCTACTTACACAGATGGACTGCGGAAGAAGGAAGAACGAAAGAAGATTCAACTCAACTTTAGGCAATTGGGTAAGAAGAGATGCATTTAACTGAGATAGAGCAGGAGGGGAAGCGGGAAAGGGTGCATGCGTGTGTGTGTGTGTGTGTGTGTAAGGGAGAAGACATGCAGTACAAAGATGTGTGGAGCCTGAGGTACCTGAGTGTCACTGAGATGGACTGGAACTCACAGGCGAGGTCAGAAGTAGAAAGTCAGATTTGGGCGTCATAGACTTTTAGGTACGTATTCACGTCATAGAAGAGGAGGGGTTTTCTCAAAAGAAGTGAGGATTGAAAGCAGGGATTGGCAGACTATAATCTGGGGCCAAACATAGCTTGTCACTGTTAAAATAAAATTTTATTGGAGCACAGTCATGTGCATTCATTTAACATGTTTTCTGTGCTTTCACGCTATAACGGCAGAGTTGAGTAGTTGCAACACAACCCACCTGGTCTGCAAAGCCTAAACTCTTCACTGTCTGGCCATCACAGAACATGTTTGCCAAGCCCTGCTTTAGAGGAATCAAGAGATGGTGAGACCGACACTGTAAGATGAGGAGAGGAAAGAACTTAAGTGACAAAGAAAGAAATCTCATTGAAGGATACGATGAAAGGCAAAAGTGGTAGTTTCGGGAAAGAAGTGTCAAGTCAATTGAAAGGAAGAGGCTGAAGAATCACTGAATTAAGAAGTTAGATTATGAGTGATGCAGAGAAGTCTGGGGAGATGGTAGTGATAAAGGTCAGATCTCAGTGAGCTGAAGAGGAGGGAATCAGCAAATGGACTGCTCTTAAAGACTCTGGGGAAAAGGGAGGATTGAAAAGAGATGGTGGCCTGAAGCAGCAGGACCAGCAGGACAGGAAGATGCCGCTAAAAATCTTCCAAATAAAAGGGAGGCAGGCGGAGAGTGTAGGCAACTTGGAGTAAGATTCCCGAGTAGAACAGAGTTGGTAAAAAGATCAGAAGGGGTTAGCTTTACAAAGGAACAGGAACGCTTTTTTCTCTGAAAAGGGTTGACGATGAAAAATCATGAGAGAAAATTCTCGGAGCTTTCCCTTGGCTCAGAGATATGGGAGGCGGTGTGATTTGCTGAAAAGTCAGGGAATTGAGGGGAAAAGCCCAGCTCAATGTCTGTGGTTTTAAGAGGGAACATTAACTCAAAGCTGGTATTTAACTCAATAACTTCTTTACTATTCTCAGACACTGGGTATCTTGATGAAAATGTTCTCCTGTCCCCAAAGTACTGACTCCCTCATCTAGATCGTGGGTCAGCAAACATTTCCTGTAAAGGGCTTTGTAAATGCTTTAGGCTTCGTGGAACACATATGATCTATCACTCTTTTTTACATATCCCTTGAAAAATATAAAAAACATTCTTAGCTTGCTACCCACACAGAAAAGGGTGGATTTTGCCTGCAGGCTGTAGTTTGCCAACCCCAGATCTAGATTACTGGCATCATAAAACCAGTAAAAGCTGTGATTTGTTTTTTTTTTTTTTTGGTACGTGGGCCTCTCACTGTTGTGGCCTCTCCCTTCGCGGAGCACAGGCTCTGGATGCGCAGGCTCAGCGGCCATGGCTCACGGGCCCAGCCGCTCCGCGGCATGTGGGAACTTCCCGGACCGGGTCACGAACCCGTGTCCCCTGCATCGGCAGGCGGACTCTCAACCACTGCGCCACCAGGGAAGCCCTGTGATTTCATTTTTATTACAAAGGAAAATATGCCATGACTAGAAATTTTGACTTATAGATTTTGGGTTGTTTTGCTATTAACCAAAAAGGCTTATTTTCCCATGCTACCCCCCCAACCCCCGCCCCCGCCCAAGTATCCTTCACCAGTCATCCTCAGGTCTTGAATTAGTTTGTGCTTGATCAAGTTTGACAAACTGAAAAGGTGCTGGGTAAGTTACCTCGAGTCCCACCGATTGCTTGTTCAGATCAACAAGAGGCAACACGGGCTGAGGTCTGCTAATCAGCCACAGGAATATGGCGGCTCCAAAGGTCAGGATGCAGATCAGTGCCGGAGTTGGAAGTGGGGAAAACAAGAAGTTAAAGATAAAAAGCATCTTTGTGAATAGCAGCAGGAAATTCAGGCCTAAAAAAAAAAAGGAAAGAAAAAGCTAGAGGAAATGGTCGTATATTTTTACTCAATAGCTCTATGTTTACAGAAAGAACACACACACATACACACACACACACCACACACACACACATTCGAGAATAGTAGAATGCATTCTCTACCCTTGCTACTTGACTGTCCTCCCACAAGGCAGAAAGGATCAAAGGAAACAGGTTAATCATTTTCCAGATAATTTTGAGAAAGGACTACCCTTTAATTTTTTGACTGACAAAGCCTAGAAGCCCTCTGGACCCAAAATAAGCTGGTAGTCAGAGGAGGGGGCTCCAGAGAGCTCCCCCTGCCCAAGCAGACCGAGGGTCACGAAGGACTCTTGCAACTGCATCTCCCTAGTATAAACCAGACAGAAGAGGGAACCTCAGGAGTGGTGACACCACCCATCTTAGAAATTAAGCATTCTCGGGCTTCCTTGGCGGCGCAGTGGTTGAGAGTCCGCCTGCCGATGCAGGGGACGCGGGTTCGTGCCCCGGTCCGGGAAGATCCCGCATGCCGCGGAGCGGCTGGGCCCGTGAGCCGTGGCCGCTGAGCCTGCGCATCCGGAGCCTGTGCTCCGCAACGGGAGAGGCCACAACAGGGAGAGGCCCGCGTACCGCCAAAAAAAAAAAAAATTAAGCATTCTCCTGTGAAAGACATTTCCTGCTGGCCAGATATGCCCTGCTCATTGCTTTCTTTTCTGAGCCACCAGGAGGGTCTCAGAAATCAACAGAATCACAACTTGCCAGGTCCAAAGTCCTCTCCTCCAGGGAGCCTGGAGGAACCATTTTTATTGGAGGCAACTTTAGCCAGGTCTGCAGGAAGTATGCAGGAGAATGGGCCTGGCACATGGTAGCAGGTGAGCATTGAAGATTTAGGCCAGGAAGTGATCTCAGTGAACCAAAAGAAACAGTCTTCCCCCACAACTCAGCTTTTCTTGTAGTTTCCAGCTTCAAACTACTCTAACAGGAGGCATTAACATTTGAGTGGATCCTAGGAACTTATTCTCGCTGAAGCCATCTCTCTCAGCTCTTGCCTCACAACTTTCAGACTTGACTAGGACAATAACAGCATCAAACAAATGAGCACCAAGTCTATGCCAGGCACTGAGCTGGGTTGTTTGCATGGATTATCTAATTGAAATCGCATTTTACAGACAAAGAAAATAGAAACTCCCAGAAGTAGTGACTTGCCCAAGGTCACTCATCATTTGCCACTGCTACTTGCCCGTTAAAATCTACAAAATCACAACACATTTTTTCCTTATAGAGTCTAGCCACACAGTTCAAGGAGACTGAATTCATCTGGCACCTTACAGGTCACAGCAAAGGCATTTCAGATTTTGTAGTCTTTAAAGTTTACTGCAACGCCCTATATCTCAGAGATGAAACCAAACATTCCTACTCAAAATCAAGAGAGCAAAGCAAGTCCAATAAAAAGTCATAGCCACCCTTAGAGCTTTGGGACAGCTGCCATTAGCTGGCAACTGGAACTTTTGCCATTAAGGGAAACAGTTCGTTCCACTCTAACAAAGGCTATAAATCCTAGAAATTTTGTGTGGGAACAGTAACAGTCACAAGAAACCCTGAGTTACTTTTCATCATTTTTCTACCCCTTGATTGGTTATTCCTGAGTTTGAAGTAATCCCTTTCCATTTTATGGAGGAAAATTGAACTTCCAGAGACTGGGATGACTGTCTCAATTCTTTGGTTTCTTCTACATTGTGTTTAGGTAAAGAAAAAGAAGATTAAAAAAAAAGCCAGACCCCAAAGGTGCTAGTTTACCTAACAACAGGTGCTATTATGACCACCTGCCAGGATTCTGAGAGCTGGGATTCTTGGAATCCAGCCTTAGCCAAAATTGTGTGGTAAGGCAGTCCAGGAGGCAAAGCATATTAAAGAGCCAGCCATGCGGGACACCATTCCAAGGCCGGCCACCCACCCCAGGCTGAGAAGGGCGGCTGCCCCAGGGGAAGCTGCAAAATTCACAGGACAGGTAGCAATGCCAAAGCGAGAGGGAACCTGCTTTGCGCTCAGCCATCTCTGCCTACTACCAACCCCTGTCCTCAGCCTGGGGTACTGCCACCAGTCTGGTGGTACCTTAGAATCTGGAATTCTGCCCTTTACCTTCATCCCTCCTCAAGTGAAAGATTCTTACCTGCACCTCCCTGCTTGGATACAAGAACAGATTGTTGCACTGAGGACTTTTGACCTCTTCTTACACATGGCAGCTTTATATTTCAGTTGGAGACATAATGGGAGACTTTGCAAACAACGTCTTCAAAAGAGGGTCTAAAGGTGAAATGTGGCAGTGTGGGAAGGGGGAGGAAGGAGGGTGAATTGCCTGGCAGGTAACACAAAGGGAGGAGAGAGAGAAAGAACCCATGACCAGTCTAAAGGTGGCACCTGCTGTCCACCCCGGCTGATTCTTACCATGTAGTAATGTGAGCCCAGGGTCATCAGATGGTCAGATTCTTTACTCCCTAGAAAACCTGGCACACTGGATTTTTATGAAACCTCAATTTTAACTTCTGGCTCTATTAGTAAGGGTCTGGCATGGGATAAACGAAAACACATCTGGTTTAATCCGGACCACGGTCTACCAATTCTTGAGCACTCCTTTTAGGTGTACTCCTGTCCTATTGCCCACAAATGGGATGAGCCTGGCCGCTTCACTACCTTGCCTACACTGGCAAGGGACTTTATTTGCAGAAAACACTGAAAGATGTATTTGTCAATTGAAATAGCTTACTCACTTTGTTTGCCATTGCTGACCAGGTATCCAAATAGGATATACACAGAATTTCAGATGCTTCCTCCCTGCCTCCCCACATTTAAAAAAATTGAGGTAAAATTCATATAACATAGAATAAACCAGTTTTAAAATCTACAATTTAGCAGCAGTTAATACATTCACAGTATAGATTCACAGTGTTGTGAAACCACCATCTCTAGTTATTTCCAAAACATTTCGTCGCCCCAAAAGCGGAAACCACGCACCCATTAAACTGTAACTCCCACTCTCTCCTCCCCCTCACCCCAGGCAACCACTAATTTACTTTCTGTTTCCATGTATTTACCCATTCTGAATATTTCGTATAAAAGGAATTATGTAATATGTGACTCTTTGTGTCTAACTTCTTTCACTCAGCATAATTTTTTTTGTTTTTTTTGTTTTTTTTGCGGTACGCAGGCCTCTCACTGTTGTGGCCTCTCCCTTTGCGGAGCACAGGCTCCGGACGCGCAGGCTCAGAGGCCATGGCTCACGGGCCCAGCCGCTCCGCGGCATGTGGGATCTTCCCGGACCGGGGCACGAACACGCGTCCCCTGCATCGGCAGGCGGACTCTCAACCACTGCGCCACCAGGGAAGCCCTCAGCATAATATTTTTAAGGTTTATCCATGTTTAAGGTTTAGCACGTATCAGTACTTCCTTCCTTCTAATGGCTGAAGAATGTTCCATTGTATGGATGGACCACATTTTGCTGATCCAGTCATCAGTTGGTAGATATTTGGGTTATTTCCACATTTTGGCTGTTGTGAATAGTGCTATGAACATTTGTATACAAGTTTTGTTTGAATACCTATTTTCAATTCTTTGGGGTAAATAGTAGTGGAAATGCTGGGTCACATGGTAATTTTACGTTTAATTTTTTGAAGAACCACCAAACTGTTTTGCACAGTAGCTCTATCATTTTACATTCCAACCAGCAATGTAGACGATTCCAATTTCTTTACATCCTTACCAACATTTGCTGTTTTTTCTTTAAAAAAAAAAAAAAATAGCCATTCTAATGGGTGTGAAATGACATCCCATTTTGATTTTGATTTGCATTTCCCTAATGACTAATGATGTTTAGCAACTTTTCACGTGCTTTTTGGCCATTTGTATTTCTTCTGTGAAGAAATGTCTATTGCAGTCCTTTGTCTATTTTTAAATTGGGCTGTTTGTCTTTTTCTTGTTGACTTATAAGCCTTCTTTATATATTCCGATACTAGAACCTTCTCAGATATATGATTTGCAAATATTTTCTGCCAGTGTGTAGGTTGTCTTTTCACTATCTTGATAGTCTCCTTTTTTTTTTTTTTTTTTTTTTTTTCCGTCCGCAGGCCTCTCACTGTTGTGGCCTCTCCCGTTGCGGAGCACAGGCTCCGGACACGCAGGCTCAGCGGCCAAGGCTCACAGGCCCAGCCGCTCTGCGGCATGTGGGATCTTCCTGGACCGGGGCATGAACCCGTGTCCCTTGCATCGGCAGGCGGACTCTCAACCACTGTACCACTAGGGAAGCCCGATAGTCTCCTTTTTAATGCACAGCGCACACACACATTTTGAACCTAGGATGCTAGCACTAGGGAGGATTTGCAACCATATCATATAACTCTCTCACTGTTTAAATGGGAGAAACCGAGGGTCTGAGAGAAGGCAAGACCTTCAGGTTACACCAGTACTGGACTGGTTGCCATTCTAAACTTTAGAAACAATGAACACTTCCAGATATGTTCAAGTAAACAAGGGGAGAAGCCACCATCTCTCTCGTCATGTGTCCTGTGTCACTCAAATTACAATTCTGAGCGGTCACTCCACGGAACCCCTGCAAGCTTTTCCTCTTCCCTTAACGTCACTCCCAGTTGGGAAAGAATGGAGTAAGGACAAGTGCAATAGCAGTAAAGAAAAGAGGAAGGAGAGCTGTGTTACACTGTATCTGGGAGTTCTTGTTTGAGGTTATCTACAGATGGTTGAACAAGCCACAGGGTGGCCCCAAGTGGAAAGCTTCCTCCGCTTTCTGATGTGGTAATAGTGACACGCCTTAGTCCCATGCCCCAGGATGCCCATCTGTCCTCAACCCTTCCCCCTGACTCACTCTCCAGGGCCCTCACTTCCTCTGTGGTTTGAATGGCCACAGCCAACATTACTCATCTGGCTCCTGACGTGTTGAATTCCCAAGCTTGCTGAAGGACACCTCCTGCCTTCATACCTACTTGCAAG